TTACATACATATATATATATATATATATATATATATATATATATATATATAAATGAAAAAAGCTTTCTCGAAAGAAAACGTACTTGCTGCTCTACGTTGATAAGCCAACCATCGACTTGCTTCAATAGGTCTTCTTGAAGCTTCTTCTTCTTCAAAGCTAACAAAGCCCTATCTTTCCTCTTTTCACGAAGCAAATCTTTTGCAGCTTGCTTTTCAGCTTCAATGACAACCTCCAGCTGAAAACAGTACAAGACGAAAAAAGATTAACACATTTGGTAGAGCCGGAAATACATGAAAAACAATGTTCAAGTACTGCAAATCGACATCAAATCGAACCTCCTACAAGAATACTAATCCAATATTTTTCAAGACGTACGAAGAAAAACGCCAACTCTGTTATGTTATGCAAGTGATTATGAATTAATCATATGACCGATTCGATTTCATCAAGAACATTAAAAAATCGCTCAAGGTCATATAGTCACGACTTTCCGTGTTATGGCCATTCGTGATTATCGAAACATTACGAACCCACTAATAGATGCCGGCACGAACAGATTTGCAGTAATTAAAAAGTAATGTCGTAGTTTTCTGTTAACCGATTCATCGCACAATTAATATCACGATTTCGCAGAGCAGCGCAAAGAGTCAAACTTCACAAGACGATAAATCGAAATCGAGAATTCGAAATAAACACAATAACTACAATTAAGGAAGTATAACTGATTTGAGAAAATAATTTACCTGCTGCTGATATTGACCAAGCTTACGCCGTTGGGTTTTGAGGGAAAGGATCGCTTTATCCACTTCCGTGATCTTTGGTTTCTTCGCAAAAACGTTCCCCATTGTTTCTCAGCTCTCTTCTTCCCCAATTAATTCTGAAAAGTTTCGGTGTTTTCCGATACGTTTTCCGGCGGAGACACTTGTCGGAAAACGGATTCGTGCCGTTGCGATTAATTTCTGAAAAATTAGGAACGGCATTTCAGAAGGAAACCCTAATTCTCTAAAAATCCCCAAATACTATAGAATTAAAAACAAAAAACCTTACCTGAAATCGCGTCTGTCGCCGTTCACCTTGGCTGTCTCGGTCGCCGGCGCCGGCGATTTGTTTTGAGAAATCTTTTGAATTAGTCCACTAATTTGTTTGGGCGAATATCAGAAAAGTTCCTTGTTTGCAAATGTCTCCTTATTCTATAAATGATAAAATAGAGTTTGCACCCCTAAATTATGTTTTTATGTGGCACTAACTCCTCTAAAGTATATTTTTGTAACTTTTACCCCCTCGATAATTATTTGCTTCCTATGCCTCAATATCTTAAATTTTAAAATATAATAGAAAATTGCACATCACCTCCTGTATATTTCTAATTTTTGCACTTTACCCCCTCACAATTTTTAAAAGTGAATGTCCCGCTTCAAAATGTTATTCTTGTTGAAAATTGCCCCGATAACAAAAGGCCAATGAGTTATTCGTCGGAATTGAGTATTTTTGTCCCATATTGCCCCTTAAATACACTATTTTTTTGCACGTTGCTCAATTAAAATGTTATTTTTGTTGCACAATGTCCTCCTAAAAATTGGCTTTTGGGGTTGTGCCAATTTTGGAGGGCATTGTGCAACAAAAATAACATTTTATAGGAGCAACGTGCAAAAAAAAAAAAGTATTTTTAAGGGGTAACCTGCAGCACAAATAATCAATTCCAAAGGAATGATCCATCATATTGAGGCAACGTGCAACAATAATAATATTTTGAAGGGGGCATTCACTTTTAACAGAAATGAGGGGTAAATTGTATAATAGAAATTTATAGGGGGCAATGTGCAATTTGCCCTATAATTAATCTGATTATCATGAGATCACACACGTTTACTAAGTAAAACAAAAGAATCAAATAAATTAAATATCATCAACCGCAACCATTACACAAATCACAAATGAATTCAAAATCAACGTAGTGAAAAAATGTAAAACATCACACACCCAAATCAAACCACGCATGAATCATTCGAACATTTTAATTACGTCGTAAGTAATTTGATATCCCGGTCTTGCTCGAAGCAAGCCATGTCATCGCTATTCAAATGCACCCACGCCTCGATCCCATCACCCTCTTTGCTATCCATCATCACTATCATCTTCTCCCCGGGCGTCGCCCCGATTCCCGCCCCGACCGGTTTGCCCCACCCGAAATCCGCTTTTTGGTAGAACCCGAACTTACTCCAATCGCTAAACACCACAAAATTCACCTCGGTCCCCCACGTTTTCTGGATCGAGCTTATCAGAGGGTCCATGATAATAGCGTGCGCATCCCCACTAGGAGAGAACATATCCGCACAATCCGCGATGGTCTTTTCCAGACCATCGCCGAGAACATCAACCAACTCTTGGATCCCACAATTGTCGGTTTCGTCCTCCGACATGCAACGAGAGGGCGACAACACCAACATATTCCCGCACGAGTCCTTTGGTAGAGGTGGGACCGTCCTCCCCCGGAAATTCACCGCTTGAATAAACATGCAAGGCCTCGATAGCCCGTTTTTGGCCCGGTCCATACCGATGAGGGCCTTGGCTATAATCGCGGACACGACACGCACTCTGGAGATATTCATCGAGTTCTTGCTTACTATATTCGATTTCAGGGTCTTTATCGCATCCTTGTCGAACGAAAACTTCTTCACAATAAGCTTAGGATGGTCCGGGCCGTTCTCTGGTGGCCCGGACTCAGGCCCGTAGGGTTGGTTCCTGCGCGGAAACAATGTCGGGGACTCAAAACTTGGGTGGATTTCAAATTTGTGGGCCCCGCCCGGATTGGTGGCATTCGCCCACGCGGCAATGAATGTACCTACCGAACAAGCATCGTAGATTCTATGAGAAACGCTGACGCTTATTACAAGCCCGCCGCACTTGAATTTCGTCACCTGAACGGACAGAAGCGGGTCCGTAGGTAATTCGTCGACTTGATAGAATTTACTATGGAGGAGATCATTCAGCTCACCGGATTCCCTTTTCGATACAAAATCGTTGAAATCGGCATCTTCGTCGGCAATTTCCGCTTCGATGAACTCGGCGCCTTGGTCACTGCAATCGATACATAGGTCTTTCTTGATGTATCTTCCGGCGAGAGGGTAGAACTGGGGTAAGATTTCCGACAACGATTGTTGCAAGTGACGGATTCTTGATCGTATCGAATCGGAATCCGATGATGGTGTCGGATCGTAGAAGAGAACGATGCCCAAGTTCAATGGAATTGGGATAAGCATATCTATGAAAGATAGATCATGCTTTCTTAGGTTTTGTGGTGTTGGGGTGATTGGTTTGATCAAGGTTTTGCTAATCACGTTGATTTTCATGATTCTTGAACGTAAGAAAGAAATTGGAATATTTTTGTGTGATGATTGTAGTGAGGGGTACATATGTATGATTTTATAGATGGTGTTACGAGGGTTAAAATGGTAATTTTGTAGGTATTTGTAGTAGGTGTAGCATAGTTCATTTAATTAAAAAAAACAAAAAAGTCAATTGTTGCATAACTCATTTGCTGTAAAGAACCTTTTTCTTTTTTATTCATATAAGATATATATATATTTATCTATTTTTTTATTAGTATTGTTTGTTCTTTTATCGGAATGCGGAGAATCTGATAACTAGTGGGTGAATGGGGGTAGTGTTCACACATAAATTATGGCCGAGCATTTTTTTAACAATATGTTTTTGTTTTTTTAAGTATAAAATGCACTTCAATCCCTATAGATTTTTAGTTGTACCGACGACTCGATTAATTTATATTGCGGCAACTTTGTCGCGCTATGCGCCAACGCGCATTCACACCCCTCCGACTACAATCTCCGGCTTATTTTTCCACCCGAATTGCAATGCATACTGATCGACTTCTCCAATTTTTACTCTCGACACGATTTGAGACCCATCACAACATGGCCCCCACATCGACTCGAGAGTGGGGGGCTTAATGATATGCCTAATTGGGCCAACCCAATGGGCCTACAATTTCTTTACCTACTGGGCTACGAGTCCAATATCGAAGACTAATATCACCGAGGCCCAAACACCTTCAAGTAAGGCTTGGGCCCAACAAAGCAAACCCAACCCAATAAACGACATATAAATAGAGGTTTTCCTCATTTTATTAAGGTACGTCCTATTAACTGAGCAATACTACAATACGTATTCTCTGGACCATTTCTATGATCAGCACGTCTGACTTGAGCGTCGGAGGGGTTTCCGCCGGATCAACCCCCGGCGTAGTTCACGTGTGTTCATTTCGCAGGTACCTCAGGATCATCAAGTTGTCAAGCTACTGATCTGCTTTGCTCTCCCAATTCATTTTCTACACAACCCCAGGTGATAAATATTTTAGCATCATCACATACGTACGTCCACTTGAAGGGTATTAGCATCATCCCAGAGACGGATTACTGTGATAGCGGCTAACTGAAGAAAAAATTGAAGATTCTCGTAATTTTGGGACCAAAATAGGCACAATTCTCTTTGAGAGAAAAAAGTTTATATTTTTTTTTCTTTCTGAAATTAGTGAAATGGGTTGTATTTTTCGTGTATTAGAAAAGATAAGGATATTAGGATTTGGAGATGAATAATGAAATGACTCAAATGCCCTTGAAGTGGACGGATAAATGGCAATTCGGATAAAAAAATACGCCGAAAATTGTGATTCGTGATAAATTGCAACGGCAATAAAATTTTGAAGGGTGATAGACAATTTTATTAATTTGTAGGGGGGAAAGTGCAAGAACTTAAAATTTCTAGGGACGAAAGTGCATTTTGTCCTTTTTATTATTAAAATTTGTCGCCAGTGTTGACCAAAAACCGTCATCTTAACAGCGCTGATTAGTTGGATATAAAAAAGAAAAGGAAAGATGACTCGGTATTTTAACTATTTTATTTACAGATTTTCTTGCCAAAGTTGACCAACAACCATCAAGTCAAATGCCATGTTTTTTTTTCTTGTTTTAATTCACGTGTCGAAATGCCATTCTTGATAATTCTTTCACGGCGGCTTTGAAAAAAGTCTGGTCCTGTAACTTAAGACTTTTGCCATTAAAAAAATCTTTAATTTTAGGGTAAAAAAAAAAAAAAAAAACTCCCAACCTTTTATTTGTGATAAATGCTCTAATTTATTATTTATCATTTTATTTGCTGAAATGCTATTCATTGTGTGGGTTTTACTATTTCATGTGTTTCATAATAACTGTCGTTTTTTTTTATAAATATTTTTATTTTATATTATCTATCACTTTGGATTTACAGTTGTGCATTAAATGCAAAAACCTTATTAATTCAACTTGTAAGTATTAATTCTCCATTATCATATCTTTAAACTCCAAGTCTTAACTCTTTCTTATGGCATCGTTAAATGATCAAGCTTATTTAATTTTTTAGGCCTCGTTTGGTTGCCAAGATAAGATTAGCCAAGATAACATTAAATAATCTAATGAAACACAATTGTGTTATTGGATCTTGGAAGGTCCAATAAAAAATATGCTTAAAAAGAAAGATAACATAATATTTGCGGACCGACCCGGCAAGTTATTGGGAATACCAAACATCCAACAAAGACCAACTATTTAGTTAATCATGAATAATCTCCCCAACCAAACGGGTCTTAATGTGTTTTTTCAGAAACCAAGATACATTATTCTAACAATTTTTGGGGTCCTATGTGAACTTTGTAAATGTGGTTGGTTTATTTTATTTCACAATGAAATTCATATTTATTTAAAATTATTTAATACTCCCTCCGTCCCAATTTAAATGACGTTTTGGGTTGTTTCACACATATTAAGAAAATCAATAAATGTGTATAGATTATAGTAAAAAGCATAGGAAAATACTAATATATCCTTGACATTAATTGTTTTACAACTAACTAATTAGGAGTTAGAAAGGGTAAAATTGAAAATAGTGCAATTAATGATGCATTGAAAATTTAAAATGACAAATAATTTGGGACAATAAAAACTCTCTAAAAAGACATATAATATGGGACAGAGGGAGTAAACAGCTAAGGCGCAATAAATGTTCCTCAATTATAGTTAGGTGATCGATTTGTTAATCTTAAAAAAAAGCTCGCACACTCAAAATTTAACATAATAAATGTTGATTTTTGTCATCTAGATACTATTTTTTTGACAAAAAAAATCGATATCAACATCTAGATGTGACTTTTCGTCAAAAAATCAAAATGTACATGTCAATTTTGTCATTTTCTTCTTCTTCATCTTTCACTCCATCTTCTTCTTCCTCTTGCTCTCCTTCTTCCTCCATATTCTTCTCCTCCTCTTTCAGCTCCAACGGTTGCGCGAAAGTTGGACAACAAAGGTATCGCGTCGACGGTCAAGCAATTGTGGTGCACAATGGGTTTCATCGGCGGGGATGGGCGGCGATGATTCTTCCTTCACCCTCTCTGTTTCTTTTCGTTCTCCCGTTATTTCTGCTCAGAATTTTTTTCTTTTTTCTTTTTGTGATTTTGTGGTGTTGCGCTAAGGAAATTAGGGGAAATATACTGAAATTAGAATAGTGTATGTTGTGATAAGGGCTTTATTAGTAATTTTATGTCTTTCTCTTAGTATGTTTGTGTATTTTTTGGTCATATATCCACCTAATAAGGCCTTCCTTTAGAAATTTTGAGATTTCTTTAGAAATTTTGAGATTTGAATAGCGACAACCTTTGAAATATTTTAATCGACCATATTGATTTCGGAAACTGGCTAGCGAGATAGAAAACACTTGACTAACTAAGCGAAAAATTTAGTTGACTAAAAAATAGGCTCGACGCAAATATAATCAGGCCGAACCATCGGGCTTCGGTTAGGCCCGACTCAATTGCTGGTCCTAAATATAGGGTTGCAGTAAATTTAAGTAATTTCCATAACAAAAATAATAATTTAAAAAAAATAAAAATCACAAATATAGTAGACTGAGTTTTAGATTCTACACATATATGTAACCAGACGAGATATCTTAACGAGAGAAGAGGGGAGGCTGAAAAAGAATTCTTCATCAGTAAAAAGTATTTACTGCAGAAGAAAAAGTAAAAAGGGTTGATAATAGGTAAATTAATATATATTATATTATAATATACTGTGTCCACAATTCTTATATTACAACAACTAGGGCAATAGGTAAATTAATAAATACTGACCGTGTTCATGTAAATTTTGTCTGTATCAATGTGTTTACTGTTTTATCTGATTACGTTTTCTATTGAATTAATAAATAATTATGAAATTGAATTAATAAATAGTTAGAAACTTTTTCAAGAATTTGACTGTGTGTTTGTATCTGAGATATATTCATCAATATTAATGGATTGTATGTATATATATACTTACTGCATGTATTCTAGGGTGCATATATATATGGTACCGATGACGTCGCATAGTTCGGCTGGTCCGAACAAAGTCGATAATCTGACGCATTTGCTCGACCAGAAAGAATCGGGGGAAGTGGATTCCGAAGCTAAGAATGCTGTAAGTAGAAGAAATCGATAAAATTAGTCGTTATTTTATTTCAACTAATTAACGGATGAATTTCATCGTATTTCTCCATTCGTGCACAATTTGTGCACAGAAGGGTGAGACCGCATTGCACGTTGCAGCTAAGAACGGAAGTAACGAGGCAGCCAAGAAGCTTCTCGACTCGAGTGCCTGCGTGGATGCGAAAACAAATGTACTATTTTCTATCTTTAAACATACAGTTAAACCTCTATAAATTAATACAGTCGGGATCAGGGAAATTTTATTAATTTAGCGAATTATTAAATTATCGAGTTAATAATTTAACACGTTTTCACCAACTCGGGACAGGGAGAAACTATTATTTAATCGAAATTATTAATTTATCGAGTATTAATTTATTGAGGTTCTACTGCATATAGCTTTGTATCCAAATTTATTATTCGGTTGGTTACTCAGTTGCACAAAATTCTGGAGAAATCTCGATCGTGGAAACATTGTTAATGTTCAAAGCCGATCGTTCCGCAAAAGAAACAGTGTAGCAAATCTTTTCCGATTCATGTTCAGTTTCGATAATATTTCAACTGTTTGTAGCTCATATTATTGTTGTTCTTGATAGGGAACTTAGTTTTTTCATTTGATGTTTGGTAAACCTAATAACTTCCCGGGGTCGACCCCGGAAATATTATGTTATCGTATATCGTTTAGGGAGTTTTTTTTTGTTGAACCTTTCGGAGCACTCCAGTGGAACAATTGGGTTTTCATTTGATTATTTAATCTCATCCTGACAACAAAACGAGGCCTTATTTGTTGTTACTATTATTTGCAGAAGGGAAAGACTCCTCACAACTATCTTCGAGACGGCCTACAAAATCAAGAATCGAAAGAACGCCTCGTCCAAAAGAACGTCCCATGCAAAACTAACAATCCAACAAGAAATATCGACACTGCAAATCAAATTAAGAGTACTATCCGACATATTTACAATGCAACGGGCCATTCAGCTTATCCATATAATTACAACTTCGCCCAACAGATTTACAACAAGTTCGACTCGCTCCCTGCGTTTGAGAAACTTGTTAGCAATCGCACAGTGGGGTCTAGCAACATTATAGAATATTTGAATAAAAAAAGGCGCCTCGAAAAAAGGCAAGAGCCGAAGAATGAAACGAAAAAGGGAAAGATGGATGAGCGAAAGATGGTTGAGTTTGAAGACGAACTATCGAAAATAGTCGGACTGAATGAGCTTAAACAGCGGCTCAGGACATGGGCAAAAGGATTGCTCATGGATGAGAAGCGTCGAGCAGTCGGGATAAAACTCGGACCGAGAAAACCACCTCACATGGTATTTCTCGGAAATCCCGGGACAGGTAGTTTTTATTTGGCTTGTTATTTCATTAGTCCCATCTTTGATTTTTTGTTTGGGTAAATAGCACTTAACCCATGTGGTTACAAGATTTTGCAGATGACCCCCTTTCAATAGTAATATACGCTCATAACCCCCTCTGGTTGATATGATAGCGTCTGTTAGTTTTTCGTCAAACTAGACTGATGCTTGTCAAACTTCAAATCGGGAAATGCAAGCAGAACTGGTTCATCTCACTAGTAGAAAAATGGTTTTTTACTACGACTATTACCCGTAGCAAAATGTATTAAATTCGTAGTAAAAAGGCTCTTGCTACGCATTTGCTACAAATTTGCCCCGTAGCATATACGGGCATGACAAAAACTTTGCTACGGTAAATGTCCGTACCGAATACTCTTTTGCTACGGTAAATCCTAGTATTTATTACGACTTCAAAATTGTTCCGTAGGAAAAAAATACCTTTTTATTACCGTTTTTTACCATAGGAAAAAAATTCGTAGTAAAAAGCAAAATTTCTACTAGTGTCTGCAAAAATTAAGGTTTTCTAAGTCTCGTATTCATAGTTAAGCTTGACTGCTTGACGGAAAAATTAACAGTATGAACCGCAATGAGGTTATGAGATGAGTACAAGGGGTTATCTGCAAAAAACTTATAACGGCAGGGGGTTAAGTGCTATTAACCTTTTTTTTTTTTTTTGGTTTTTTTCTTTTTAATTAATCCCATCATTGATCTTTCAAATAGATTTATTGCATGCATCTTCTACTATTTCTTGTTTTCAGGTAAGACCACCATAGCACGAATCTTAGGCAAACTACTCGAATCTGTTGGTGTGCTTTCTTCCGATAAAGTGGTAGAAGTTCAAAGAACCGATTTGGTAGGAGAGCACATTGGACATACCAGACCCAAGACTAAAAAAAAAGTACGGAGTTAATTTATGATTTTAGAAATCCCGCATTGTACGTTCATTAGAATCTCGATAAATTAATAAACTCGTTTAAATAATATTATCTCTGGTCTCAACGCGCTGACAACGTGCTAAATTATTAATTCATTAATTCAACTCTCCACTAAATTAATAGATTTTGTTAGTCTATTAATTTACAGAGGTTTAACTGTAAATGTTTTTATTTCCTTATATATTTGATGCTTGATTATAGATTAAAGAGGCAATGGGGGGCATTTTGTTTGTAGACGAAGCGTATCGTTTAGCGCCCGTGTGGTTGATAAGTGTTCATTTTGCATGATTTTCACTTATCAATTCTTCAAGTTTTGGTCTTCGTTCGTCCGAGTTTTCGGCTTTATTTGTATATATTATGTTGTTTTTGTTTTATTTATATTTTAGGTAAAGATAAGCTATTTTTGCCGATTCGAAACGATTTTGGAAGCGAAGCCGAAAATCAAACCAAACACGTGCAAAAGTGTATTCTCGCGGATTGTGGCACTGTTTCGTATTTCCAGCATAACTCTTTCATACGACCTCCGATTGAGCTGATTCAAGTGGCCTTAGAAAGCTAACTTTAATATCTACAACTTTTGTGAAATGCAAAATTGTCAAATTCGGGCTAAAAAAGGGTTAAAACAGTGTTTGAAGATGGCGCAGAAGCCCAGATCGCGATCTGGGGGGTCCGACAGAGCTGAAATGATTGAAGATCCAGATCGCGATCCAGGAAGTCGGATCGCGATCTGGGGGGTCCGACAGAGCTGAAATGGGTCAAGATCCAGATCGCGATCCACATTCATGGATCGCGATCTGGCATGGCGGTGCACAATTTTCGAGGCAAGATATTTGTGTTTTTGCAAGCCCCCTATAAATAGAACAAGCTTCCTCTCCATTTAGACGCCTAACACTTCCGGCTTCAACTTTTGCTTCGGTTTTCTCTTCGGTTTTCGCCAGTTCTTCGCGGGAAACTTCGACGAGGGTTTCGAATCGAGTTTTTCATAAGCTTTTCTTTACGTTTAGTTTATAATTTCTCGTGTTCTTCATTTTGATGCTATGTTTGTAATGAACTGAGCATTTTCTTTTAGGGAAATGAAACCTTGTATATATTGATTTTGATTTCCAGATATGTGATCTATTTGTCGTTCTTTGATTATGTTTATGTTTTCCTGTATTAAATGCTTTCGATTGTTTGGCCAACAGTTGAATTGATTCTAAATGGGAATGAACTCGAGAGAGGATTTCTCGTTTGATTTTAGGAAAACATAGCTCGGGTTGTGGAAACGGAGACGTGATGCACCTCGGGTAGCCCTTAAGGACTTGACCTAAATGCTCTCTTAATATCAGGTTCTGAACGGAGACGTCGGACCTGTGGGTAGACTCTAACTACACTGAAGACGGGGGTTAGGGTATTTTAGTGTCTGGGTTAGCGAACATAGAATTGACAATAGATTCGGATTTGTAGATCTTTATCGATAGTACACTGGTGGATTTTACCCTAGAAGCCATCACACGTCGGAATTCCTCGCTTGTACTGGCGGACCGTTGTTTTTATTTTTGTTTCATTTTGGCTTCATGTCATCTCCCATCTTTTTCTCCCGTCTAGATAAAGTTTAGGATAGTATAATTACGGTACTTGGTAGATTTAGGAACTTAATTCCCTGTGGATCGATATCCGGAATTCACTATTCTGCAAAACGCGATACTGTACACTTGCGGTTATTTATACGTAGGTTTTACGCGTATCAGTGGTCGTCGGGTCGTAGCCATGACTTTGGTATGGAAGCATTGGAAGAGATTATGTCCGTGTTGGAAGATGGGGATATTGTGGTCATTTTCGCAGGCTATACCGAGCCGATGAAGCGCGTGTTCTCGTCAAACGCAGGGTTCTGCAGAAGGGTTACCCACTTTTTCCAATTCGATGATTTTACGTGCAAAGATCTCGCAGAGATGGTGATGATAAAGATGACTAAGCTAGACGAAAAGAGCCGATTGTACGGTTTTAAGCTCGATTCCGCGTGTACTTACGATGCTATTCTTCAAGTGGTAGAGAACAACTCCACGGAGAAGCTGCGGAGTAATATGAATGGAGGTTTGGTGGATCATATGTTGAACAATGCCAGAGAAAATCTCGATTTGAGGCTCAATTCCGAATCGGAAGTTGATGAACTATGCACGATCACGTTAAAACGGTTGCACAACGAGCGAATGTCAACTGAAAGATAGAATAAATGGATGTTTTTTTTGTTTTTTTTGTTTTTTTTATGACGAGTTTTAATTGAATGAAAACTTATAAGGGTAGATTGGATTGATGATGATACAATTATTCGACTTTTATTTTTCACGAGAAACGCAGGTTAATATATTTGGGAAGTCAACTAAAGGTAGTCTTCTTCTCTCATTTGGAAACCTATGGTGGTTGGCAATAATTAAGGGTAAATATCACTTCTACACCGATGATTTGACTCTTTTGCACATCGCTCCTTATACTTTCAATATAAGCACATAACTTCATTATGCTTTAATGTAAGTATATTACCTGCTTGTACATTCAAAATTTTTCCTTTCTTAATTAGCATGATAAATTTGTTGGGTGAATAGCACTTATGCGGTTATGCCCATGTGGTTTGGCCATTTTGCACGTGATCCCCTTTTACTTTGATTATAAGGGAAATTAGCTGGAAGTCCCTAAAAAATATTCTCTATAGCTATAAGGATATGCGGATTTTACCATTTTGTTAAAAGTCCTTTTACGCTAATCTGACAATAGATTTGGATTCTCTCTAACGGAATTGCTTAGGAAAACTAACAGTTACATCGACGCGATGATTCACACAACTTAGTTATATTAATAATCAACAACTTAGTTATATGAATAAACAACAACTTAGTTACATAATGTGAACAACAAATTACTAGAAGAATGGATACATCTCATAACGTTTACACAACTTATATAGACAGATTATAAAACTTATTTACAGAGCTTAGTTTCATTAATGAGTAAATTTTTTAAAAAGAACACGTAGTCCATATAAATTTACTATGAAGTTAGACAACTTCGAAAACAAACTGAAGGAAAAAAAAACTTAAATCTCTGGTGCGTACATCACCACCAACATTACCATCTGCCATCACCAAACAATTCTTCCTATTTTCCTTTTTGGTTTCCATAATTATTAGGTTACAACGGAGGGGAAGGGGAGTAACCAAAATCGTACGTGTGTGATTATGTGTGTGTGCATGTGTGCAGAGCATTGATGATGGCATCGGTGGAGAACAGGGATGTAGCAAATTTAATAGAGTGAAACGGGATTGGACGGATCTGATGAAATGAAGCGGTGTTAAATGAATTTGACGGGATGAAGGCGAGATGAATAACAAAAACTTTTGCTAATTTGAAAGATAATTAGTACATAGGGGTGTTTAGCAAATTGCCCATCTGATTATAAGCAAATTAAAGTATTACAAGTACTAAGAAAGCTTATTTCATATTTAATTTGCAAATTATTGAAATATGATGATAAAGTCTCTTCGCAATGAGCACTAGGAAAGTTACAAATACTTCATTCCTATTCAAAGTTGTCAAGAAATGAAAAGACTTATCAAAATAGTAGAAGGCTTCTTGACTTTCTGAAAGTCAAGCCGTGTTATTCTAAATATCATTATAGATAATTAATTCACAATGGTCGATATAATTATCCGATTATTTATTATTTTTTCATATAGAAGAAATTAATTTGACGTGCAGCCGAGAACCGGAAGAAATGGTGGCACCACAATATTTGTGAATCGAGCGAAAGCCCCTTGAGTAAAATGTAAGCCATCCCAATAGATGTATTCGTTTGGATTTGCGCAAACCGGCACCCCGCGACTTCCACAAAACCTTCGACGATCGTAATTATATTGTCCTCCAACTCCACAGCAAGCTTTCAACGTCATGTTCCCTTACAATTAATTACATGCAAAATAATTTGTTATAGTTAGCTCGAGATCGAAGTGTTAAGCAAATAAAACAATCAAGAGATGAGTTTGAAATAAATTATGTGGCCCATTTCGTACCAAGATATATGAAGGTAAGAACTTCAGAATGGATCAAGAAAATTGCACATCACTCCCTGTAAATTTCTAATTTTCGCACATTACCCCCTCAAAAATTTTAAAAGTGATCCTTCAAAATATTATTATTGTTGCACTTTGCTCCGATAGCAAAACTCCGATTGATTATTCATGGGAATTGAGTATTTTCGTTGCACGTTGCCCCTTTAAAAGCTATTTTTGTTGCACACTGCTTCTTAAAAATACTATTTTCTTGCACGTTGCCCCTTAAAAATATTATTTTTGTTACACAATGCTCTCCAAAAATTGTCTGTTGTGGCAAAAAGCAACCAAAATAATATTTCGAAGGGGGAGTATCCCTTTTTAAAATTTTAGGGGGGCAAAGTGCAAAAATGAAAAATTTATAGGGGGTGAAGTGCATTTTGTCCTTTTATTTATTTGTATGTTTTCTGTAGATTAGAGTTTTTAAAGAGGATAGTTACTGGTTCCCCAATTTCCCTGACATCTCGACTAAATGGTCCTACGTGCAATGTGATTACCAAGGGGCTACCTTGTCTTGACATAATTTAATTAGTTTCCAACCGTAGTAAAAAACATTCACCTGAAACAGATGACTGTTGAATAATTGTTTGTACGGCTCCGTATAAGTCGGCATAATATACGTCAACATTCGGAAATTTCGTAGTGAGATTTGTAACAGCTTCTTGGAGAAGTTTGTTTTTCGACACGATAAGATCATTCACACTCTTCAGACATCCCAAATCATCGTAGGCTGTGGCATTGTTCGTCTGTAACGTTGTAAGAATATAAGGGTAGCATCCAATCGGAACACTTCCTGCCAATACTACCCGTGCTGCGCCCATTCGGATCAGTTCCTGTTTTTATTTAACATAATTAATTAGTCGTTATTCAAAATCAATTTTATAAGCACCCGCACGATTGAATATTACTCGATGATGTTCAACCGAATAAGGTAAATTCAGTTTGAATTGATTGCATTTAGTACCCCTGTGTTATTATCCCAAATTGAATTAAAAAAAATGTAATTACAGTTGCAGCTTCGATAAGAGTTCGTATCATAAACGGCACGTAGGTCTCGACTTGTTGAATCGATTTGCCCTGCTGCAGTGAATAGCCGATGTCATTGGCTTCAATATGTCCCAATATTATAATGGAGTCCCCAACTATATTGGCACAATCTGGTGTTACAGCAAATTGAATTATTGTAAGTACTCTATCATATGGTTTTTATTAATGATTAATGCCATGGGTAAATAGCACTTAAACCTCTTGTGGTTACAAGCTTTTGCTGATGACTTCATTATGCTCGTAATATCAACACATAATCCTTTTTGTTGTTGGTATGGGTGGGGTCAGTTAGTTTTTTCGTTAAAATTAACTGCGCTAGTCGGACGTCAAAAAATACTACATGTTGCGGATGACCCCTTTAAAGTTTGACACGCGCTGTTAAGTTTGACAGAAGAATTAATGGACACTATCCCATCAACAACAAAGAGATTATGAGCTGATATTACAAGCACAAATGGATCATCTACAAATACTTGTAACCACACATATAGGATTAAGTGTTATTTTTACCTCACATAATCGGTGAATATTTCTATGACGACATGATTGCAATTATCAAAACATAAAGGGTATTTTTGTAATTTGAACTTACCTTGGGGTATTGAGCAAACGGATGAAATATAAGCTTTAAACAATCTTAGTTGACCGCTAAGAGGAATAGCATAAGGTGGAATGTCAACGCCCCTTAATTTCAAAAATAAACGGTCTAATACTGTACTCCTTGCTACTGAAAAGACGACGCCATCGTTGCTGGTAGAACCACGCATCGATAAATACGGTACAATATTTGGCAAGCCTAGACCAGCAGCTGCAAATCGAAAGCATAACTTTCGTCAAATATTTGAATATTTTTACGTAGAAAAATAAACCAAATTATCAAAAACTATCGCTATATAGTGTATATACACACACACTGACACACACACACATACACACATATATATATATATTAACTGATCAAATGCACCCTTATATATTCTCAAATATTTCAATTGCAAGGATTCAAATGTAATTCGCATGTACTTGAGGGGTCGTGTTGGAGATATTAATAGTACTAAATGATGCATTTCACTAACAGCTTAAGTTTTTGGTTGAGGTGGTCATTCAATACATACCTACAAAGTCAATATCGATACGACCATCGGACCAACGGCCAGTGGGTTGACCGGGGAAAGTTTGACCATAAGGCGAACGTGCTGCAGGAAGAAACGGGCCAAAAGGGAGAACCCTAACCGAGTTTCCAATGTCAGTTACTCCATCTCCAAAGCTGTATATATACCGAAATGGGCATGTGGTGTTTTGCGGCCTCTGTTGTGAAGTTTCGATCAACAAGAAAAAACATATAACGAAGAAACTACGTGTTTGATTCTCATGAACTTGGATCTTCATGCTTGCTTACAACCTGTGACATTAAAAGTTGTTAATTGTTATAGAAAAGAAATGAAATAATAATGCATCTTGCTTCTTTTAGAGAGAGAAAGAGAATAGTCCATTACCTTAAAAACAATGGTAAGAAGATTGAAGTGATGGAGTAGAAAGCTTATATTAAAGAGTTTGGTATATCTATAGGTGTAGCAGAGTTGTTTCTTGGAATAAGCAATAAATAAAAGGGAAATTAGTTGGAGGCTCCTAAAAAATACGAAGGACAAGCGGCTTTTGTCCTTTTAATTTGCTAAAAGTCTTTACACGCTTTCTCGATCTGGATCTGACGCTAGGTCTGGAGTCTCGCTAATGGAATTGCTTTATGAAAACTAAATGGGGACGCGGTGATCTATACAGTTAGTAATATTAATAAGCAACAACTTAGTTTAGTTAAAATAAACTCAAGAAAAAATTAAAACAAGGATAGATGCATTCCACAACACATACACAACTTACACAGACACTTTAGTAAACTTAGAAAACTTATTTACAGAGCTTAGTTACATTAACGAGCAAAAGTATAGGAAAAAACCGTATTTTTCATGTAATTTTACGATGAAGCTAGACAACTTAGAAAACTTATTTGCATAACTTAGTTACACAACTTTGTTAAAATAAGCTGAAGAAAAAACTTAATATTTGGTGCGTATATCACCACCAACGGGAAAATTACATTTTATGTCCCTAAACTTTACCACTAAAGCGAGTTATGTCCTCAAATATTTCAATCCACGAAATATGTCCTCAAACTTGCCACTTTTGATCAATTTATGTTCTGTCGTTAACGTCGTCAGCCAACTTCGACGGAAATAGCACGTGTGGCTCTCGTGACGTCTATCTGGCCGTTAAATGTCACGTGGAATAACTACCTACATCGATCTGGCGAAATAAAAAGACGTGGAGAGTGACACGTAACTCTCTTCGTCTATTTCAATCTCTCCAACACTCACATTTCATTACTGTTGGTCGAAAACCTACACGCAAGTGCACGTATCGTACAAGTAATATAGTGGACAATTAAGTCTGGATATCGAACCCACAGGGAATATTCAATTACTTAATCCTAGACGCTAAATTCTACCAATTATTATCAAGCCCACCCTACACAGTCGACTTTAAAGAGAATTAACTAAATTAAAATAAATTAAAAGGCAGGCAAAAACAAGAAAGCAATTTAAAATACGAAGATTAATCAAAGTAGACAAGCCTAGGATTTTATTCTTCCCCCTATGTGATTATTACTCCCCCAATTCCTTCAATTATGCAAGCAATTAACCCGGATTACTAACCTGAGATGCTAAAATAATCATAACCCGCTTCCGCGTGTATTACGATTCTAATACTCTAGATTCAATTACTATATTCCTATGCAATTAATTCTAGAACACAGCATTAAGCACAAATCTCAATAATGGCTACCTAAGAGATTAACTATATTCCTATGTTAATACCACAAAGGCTCTTCTACCACAGTTCTAATTATTAACCCGATCTTCCGATTCATGCGATTAACAATAACATAAAAGCGCATAAAGTGGCCAGTTTCATGAACTTAATAAAACAAGAAGAAGAAATAATCCGGAATTAAAACTTGCATAAAATCATAGAATTGGGTTCATAAATCCCACATAGGGTTCCAAATAAAATCCTAGAAATAAAGACTTAGCTACTCGTAATTCTTATGATAAATAAAATTTAAATAAATTAAATAAGAAAAACTATGATTGAATCATCGTTGATCTTCGTTGCTCTTGAATTTGCGTAAAAAGATCGATAATTGTGTGCTTGGCTTGGTCTTAAATAGGGTGAAGAACTTGGGGAAGAAGGCAGTTTCCTTGTGCAATTAAAATTCCTTTACTGCGCAACTTCGGAGTCTCGGACGGGGGTCTCACAATTTGAACTAAAACTGGGACGGGGGTCTCAGCTTTAAATCTTCAGAATTTTGATATTTTCACTTTTGACCCATATTTTCGCCAAAATTGCAGTTTTGACCCCATACTTTTCCAATTCTTCAATTTGTACCTAAAATACAATAAATCAACTTTTTAAGCACCAATTATCATTTTAAACACACCAAAAGCTCAAATAAAAAGATACGATAAAGTGTAAAAATATACACTTAACACACCCCCAAACTTGAACTTTTGCTTGTCCTCAAGCAAAATCTACCAATAAGCAAATACTCAACTATTACATCTCATCACATAGATCAATGATCAACTTCACGTTTTCAGAACTTGTAATTATAATGACAATTCTTAGGCATTCGCAAGCTCAAAATTCAACAACACTTAGTCACTCACCATTACCAAAAACCACAATTCATACAATTGCTTCAAGCATCCAATATTTATAAATTAAAGATAGAAAGAATTTATACTTACATGCATGTGCTTGACTCCAAATACTCACCAAATTATTCTACTCTACTAATATCGAACATTAAGCTATTGGGATCATTGAGGCTTTGTGGCTTTCAATTGTTAGGCTCTTTGGTTCGAGGTAGGAAATATGGGTATATGTGGCTATTCTTCTTGAATTTAGGTGATTACGCCAAAATTTGAAAGATAGGCATTTGAAACAATGAATTCACCTCTACGGACTTTAATAAACTCGATTCTTAAGAGTTCAAAAGTCTCCACTTTTGCTCTTTAGACAATGGATCGAGCTTTCAAAACAATTCACAAACTAGTCCTTATTTCTCCCTTCTAGTCTCTTCTTCTTCTCTTTTTCTCTCTCTCTCTTTTTTTTTTTTTTTTTTTTTTTTTAATATATATATATAGAAGCATAGATATTTGTCTCTCTTTTTTTTTTTCTTTTTTTTTTTTTTTTCGAAGAAGAAGAAGGACCTTATAAAAAATTTCGACCGAACTCCAAGGGATAATTTTTCAAGAGTCTCCACTTATTCTACCTTACACATTGGCTAAAAGAAAGAACACCTTTTCTCCGAGGCTCAAAACAAGGTTCTAAGGATAATTTTGATAAAAAGGTCGGCTTGAAAGGCTCAAACGGTTCAAAGAAGGCCCAAATCATATCCCAAATCACTCACTACTCAATACTTCGTATCATAAATTTCCTAAGGTGAGTCTAAAAACCGAACATAGCATGATCTAGCACAAATTAATTCCAAATTTAAAATACAAAACATTCAACCAAAGCAATGCACAAAATGTGATTCTTAACAATAATTTGCTTCCAAGTTTCATTGAATCAAAAGCTAAACAAACATCAAATCCTTATCACATAAAACAAGCAATTTCATCCTCAAACATTGATCATCTCTCATCATCATAAATCATAGATGCATTCGACTCAAGCATTTTTTTTTATATTCCGGAAAAACAATAAAAGCAATAAAAATAAATAAATCATAATGCATGCAAACTAAAACAAATAAGCACAAAACATGTTTTTCACCCCCAAACTTAAAATTTTCGTTGCCCTCAACGAAATTAGCACAAAGTTTAAGGATAGAAAACACCTGATTTAGTCGAAATCGTCGTCATCGGGGTATGAGAATTGGCGGGAGAGCAATACGTTTTTTTTTTTTTTTTTTTTTTTTTTTTTTTTTTTTTTTTTACTCTACTGGTTGTGGGACGGCCGTCCCACATTTTAGGCCATTTTTCGGACGGCCGTCCCATAGGCAGAAGCGCAGTTTGGGGCCTTCTGTTTCCCAGACGACCGTCTGGGAGTTTCCTTGCATTTTCGGACGGCCGTCTGGACCCCTTGACCATGTTTTCGACCCTGAAAATTAAAATTCAAATAAATTAATTAGAATGCATGCTTATAACAATAAAAACGAAACGAAAAATATAAAGAAAACTACGAAAAACAATAAAGCTCGGGTTGCCTCCCGAGAAGCGCTAAGTTTAAAGTCTTCAGCCAGACTTTGCTTGTTGAAATTTTTATGTCCAATCCAAAGCCTTGTAGATTGTGCATCCATCCATGAGCTTTTTCACTTCAATTGCAACCGATACAAGGATAGGATTGCAATATGTCAGGGTCCACCTTAGCTTGTAGTCTTTCTTAATTGTAATCAATCGGTACGAAGCCAAGTTGGGATCTTCATCACCCGCTCCCTCAAATCGGTACACAAAAACCTCACGTCCGCGTATAACCTCCACTTCAAACACATTCGCCTTCTTATCAACCTCTATTGATGCCTTCAAAGCCACGTCAGGAATAACAAAAAGATCATCAATTTGAATATTTGCACTAACCACATCCATCTCCTTCTTCTCTTGTTCCGAGACATCTTTGGAGTTGAGCTCGATTTCATTGTCTGATTCATCATCTTCAAGTGTCTTCGTAATTTCTTTTTCCCTCTCATCGACACTATTTTCTAGGTCTAAAGGATTTTTCTCATCACAAGTTTCAGACGGATTTTCTTTGTTGCAACCATTCTCGACATTGTCTGAAATATTTTCAAGAGACCTCTTGAGCTTCATCTCTTCCAACATTATTTCAAGTCTTCGGATAGATGCTTGAGTGGATTTCATAAAATCTTCAAGGATGGATTTCCTATAACACTCCTCAATAGTGGGTTCTCGTGGCTTTGCATAATAGGTTTGAAAATCATCAAATTGCGGCTCACGATGTTGAAAATTGTGGAAATCTTGGCTTGAATTGCTCTGCTCGTACGTGTTGGTGTATGTGTTCCAGTAACCTCTGTTGGTATTATCTATGAAATTATTCGCCTTCGGTGCATACCAACATTGGTTAGCGTAATGTTCTCCACCACATATTGAACAAAGCAACGGCATATTATAGGTATTTTGGAGGTATTCGCCAGACGGAAGCCATTCGTATCCCGTTTGAGGTGCACGAAAATTGTAACCTGACATGTAACCAAAGAAAAAAAAAAAAAAAATATAAAAAAAATTAATTTGGGTGAATCGTGAAAATTGTTCAAATTTAGAGCTAGAATAAAATAAATAATAAAAATATTCCCCGGCAACGGCGCCAAAAACTTGTTGGTCGAAAACCTACACGCAAGTGCACGTATCGTACAAGTAATATAGTGGACAATTAAGTCCGGATATCGAACCCACAGGGAATATTCAATTACTTAATCCTAGACGCTAAATTCTACCAATTATTATCAAGCCCACCCTACACAGTCGACTTTAAAGAGAATTAACTAAATTAAAATAAATTAAAAGGCAGGCAAAAACAAGAAAGC